ATCGCCCCCCCTCGCTGAACACCACTTCAGTGACAATCCTTTCCATCCCTGCTGGGATCTGTTAGGGCAGTCTCACCTGAGTCTCATGGTTTCTGTGGTTCATACTGAGGAGAAAATGAATAACCAAGCCTGTTAATGCTGCTTAGAGGGCCTGAAATCTGTGCAGGGACAGCTGTCACAGGTAGCTGTCACTGTGTCCTGGGTTTCCTGGAACATAGGTGCAAATTATGTAGTGTCCCAGAGCTTCCAAGCGGGACCTGTCCTGCCGTTTGGAGGTCTTCGCAACCCACTGCCCTGAGTCGACGGTCAGTCCTCTTCTTGCCCTCTTAGACGGAGAGGTCGCCTTGTTACGCTTGGTGAGAGCTGTGTGCTTTTGTGGTCTTCCCTGTGGCCGATGGAAAACATTAGACATCATTGTTGCATTCTTTCATTTTCCAAAGGAGGACCGCATTCCTCCCAGTGTGAGTAAGGTGCAGCAAGCCTTCGTTATTTTACACTGTCCTTCCTTCCTTTTACATTTTTGAGGGTTTTATTCTCCTCCTAAAACTCCAGGACGCCAAAAGAACAGTTGTCAAATGAAAGATTGGACCTGGAATTTAATATATCTTGTGAAGGTTAGAATATTGATTTCCTGGACAACAATAAGGCTTTAACATCGAATTCTGAGACCGTTCCCTAGGAAATGGATGAAATTGAAACATGACCAGCAAGGTAGATGAAAGCAGCAGGGCACTGAGCCAGCACTGTCAGGCAGGGCGACGTCTGTCGTTCTCTCTGGGTTGCATGGATGCAGTTATCAAGATTGACAGACCTGGCAGAGGGTCAGAGGCAGGGGCACAGAGGCTGACTCCTCGGTGACGGGGAGCGTGGAGTGGGCCATGTTCTCTCTCTCCATGTTAGGAGGCGGGAGGAGAGAAAAGGGCTCTTGGCTCATTGTTCTCCCCTGCAGGGTAAGGTCCAATCCTGCCTGTGAGCAGCCAGCTACCGGAGTGCCGAGATAGGAGAGCGGGATGGGGGATGGGGATCGTTGATTGGGAGACCCTCCCAGAGACTGGATGGCGTGGTTGTCAGGGGGGAATGAGGACCAGGGCTGTCTGAGCAGGCAAGCAGGTGCTGCACGCCACAGAGAAGCTCACAGAAGCCCGTCTAGTGGCCAGCGCCACGCCGCCGGGCCCTGCTATCTGCACCCCTGTCCCTGCACCAGGCCAGGTGGAAAGACTAGGACAGCAGGACACCCCCGGGGGGAGAGGGTCCCAGACTGCCATGGGTGCCTGGAACTGCACACAGGGCTGACCCCGTGCACACCTGCCCTCGCCTAAGTGCTCCTGTCTGCGGTAGTGTCACGTGGGCATGGTCGGCACCGGTAGCTTAGCAGCAGCAGCTCCTGGCTGGTCACGTGGATGGGTGCTCGCTCCCAGCGGACTCGATGGTTCTGTGCTCATCTGGGTTTGGACACTAGCTGACCTGGGACAGACATCATGTCACTAAACCACCGGGGGACTGCTGTACTTCTGTTTCTGAGAGGCCCTGTAAACACTGGTCTCCCAGGTGAGCGTCTGCTGGCTGTTGGGCAGCATTAGTT